GATGGAGATTGTCGCCAAATAGGTCTGTCTAAATTTTTATTTGTGTTATGAAATTTCATTTATTATTTATTCCAGTGGCGTCTCAAAGTGTGATTTTATTTAATTAATAATGGTTAAAAAGCAATTTTTTTTTACACCCTGTATCTAGAAAACGAAGCAAGTTAGGACCCGAGAATACCGATCAAGGAGAAGCGGCAGCTTGGTGTTTTCAGTGTACCGTTTTGTAACGCGCATGTGCGAAAATAAGTTGTGTATCACTCAAAATGATGTTATCTGTCAAAGTCAGTCCAAGTTGTGTTTAGTACGTGAGCAATGTTAAGTGATATTTTTTGGTGTCTGTTTTGTGTAGTAATAAGATGAAGATTTTTTTGCACACTTAGGTATTCTAATACAGATATAAAATGTGCCAAAAAAGTTATTAGGAAACTAAGAATTTTATCACATGCAAAAATATTAAGTATAATGATTTAATCATTTTTGACATTTTATTTTTCATATGTAGGTATTGGATTTTGTGAAATATATGTTTGTCTTCTTTTAAATAAATTTAATAAACAATGAACTGCAGATTTTGTTTATTTTATTTTGAAATTATATTTAAAAATATATAATAAATCCGCGTGTTTCAATTAGGATTGGTCAAAGTGGGCGAAATCCCTTTATTATGGCTAAATTGTAAGTTACAGAGTTATGTCAATATAAAGATGTTTTGCTCATTCATATTTACATTTATTTAATGAATCATACTGGAGTTGATTTTGGAAATATTGGTACATACTTAAATAAGTACTATTTCTAAAAATTCGTCTATGTCCACACAGCACACATAGTCCAATGGACGTCCACTTTAGATCCATTTGAGGGTCAGGACGTCCATATCCGGGCATCCAGTGTACGTCCATTTATGCTAATTAATTTGAAAGCTGAATATCGATACCCAGAGAACGTCGGTTTTTGGACTTAATTTTAAGTTTAGTAGTATTTTGAAGTCCAGTGGACGTCCATCTTAGGTCATTATTTATTAAGCCTACCAGATAATATAATTCGTCATTAAAAATTGACATTGTATTTTATTCTATCAGCGGAAGTTTGAAATCTTATTCCATTAAAACTATATCTAGTATAAAGTTTTCAAGTGGTTCCTTAATCGAGCTCGTCTAGCGATTGAAAGCGTAAAATAATAATGGATGTGTCGTGAGTTCGATTCCTGCTCAGGTCAAGCGATCTTTAATTAAAAAATTTAATAAATGGTGTATAGCGGTTTGCGAAAATATTTAACAACAAATTATTAATAATATAAAATAGTGTGTAGTGAGTTGCAGTTCTGTAAAAATAATATGAATGTGGTCTCAATGGAAATATAATCCTGGACGTTTTTTGAATATCCAGTATTCGACGTCCAAATATATTCCAGAATTGGACGTCTTCTGAATGGTCAAAAGTGTGCCATTTGTATACTTCACTGGACGTCGATTGGATGTCAGAAGTCCAGAAAAAACTCATTTTTGGACGTCCAGACATCCAAAATTGTATATCGGACGTCCAATGGACATATTTTTAATGTCTGAGTGAAGCCAGGCCAGGTATTTAAGTCTAAATACATAAACCTTAAATGACATCTGGCTTATCTTTGCGAGAAAACACTTTTGTTTCTACAGAAATGAGTAATAAACTTGAAAGTCCTTTTACTATAACATAAATCCAGAAATTCTAAAAATATGTAAGTACTTTTTGAGCCTAAAAGCTTTGAAAATATATGTATATTGCAAATATTTAGTTAAACCTGTCAAACTTAATGTCTTTTTAATTGTTACCTAAATTTTTTTTTACCCTTAATTTTATTTACCTTATTTTTACTTAAGGAAAAGGTAATTTAATTTAAATATGGGGCTTTTTGGCTGGTAAATACGCCCTTAAAATCTTTGCACTCAATTTTGAATTATCCTGTATATTCAACCAAACTGTGTGAAAAAATCCTTTAAATAAATTAAAATCTGTTATAAAGAGTAAAGTGACTTTTTGTACGAACAGAATCAATCGTTATTGTTAAATAAGAAGCAGCATAATATATATTTTAAAATATAACGTTTGAGATTTTGTACCCTTGCCGTTCCTTTACAAACTTTTCCGGACTCCTATTAGCTTCGAGAGTAAAGTATCCTTTTGCATAAGCAGAATCAATCGTTACTCCTATATTAAAAGCAAAATGCTTCCTACCGTTAAAATATAAAATAAATAAATAGGCGTCTCAACACGTGTCGTAATTGAAAGATGAGAATCCCGATGCAGAGCTTCATCGCTTGTACAATTAATCAGCACATGCGTATTTGAATATCTCATCTCGTTCGCGCTATTTGTTTGTTATTGTTGTGATTTTAAGTTAGATTGGAGTGACTTGGGTTTCTTATTCTTTCACTTGAAATGAATAATTTTGTTCTTATCTTTTGTACGTTTTTTTTACATAAAATACGCACTTATTTTTAATAAAAATAAACACCTTAAGGTTTCAAAATTATACATTCACATAGATCGTTCGAGCCAGCTAAATAAATAATGTATTATGTTGTATTTTAAATGTTTAAAATACTTATTCACCAAACGTGTGGTTTGCCCAATTCCATTGCATTTTGCGTTTCAACAAGTCGCTGATAAAACAACGGACGAATAAACGGACTGACATGTGCAGTGATTAGTTTACGAATGCATCCATGCACGAGTCAGAGACACATCAGAATGGAACTGTTGGAACAAACCTAATATAAATAAACTATCCTGTACCTACTCCTATTAGCCTCAAGATCTAATAGGAGTTCGGGATAGTTTTCAATAGAACGGCGAGGGTACAAATTCTGAAACTTTATATCTTAACGGTACAAATTATGTTGCTTTTAATGCAGGAGTAACAATAATTGATTTTGCTTATCCAAAAGGATACTTTACTTTTGAGTCTAATAGGATTTCTAAAGAAACGGCGAGGGTACAAAATCGGAAACTTTATATTTTAACGGTACTAATTATGTTGCTTTTAATGTAGGAGTGACGATTGAATCTACTCGTGTAAAATAATACTTTACTCTTGAGGCTAATATGACTTTGGGATAGTTTCCGAAGAAAAGGAGAGGGTACAAAATCTGAAACTTTATATTTTAACGACACAAAGTAAGTTGCTTTTAATGTAGGAATAACGATTGATTCTACTTATGCAAAAGGACGTTTTTAATGAGTGCAGTCAGGCAAATATGCAAAAGTGCATATACATATGCATTTGCATATTTTAGACATTTTTTTGGATTTTGCATATACTGTCATATTTAAAAAAAAAATGCATATAATGCTTTTTTAAAACGAATTTATTCGTTATTTAAATTCTTCATACCAAATTCATGCCTAATATTTACAAAATAATTTTATATCATCTTAATCCGTTAAAAATTTATTGGTACCTGAAAGTAAAAATTAGGAAATTTAAAGACTTAAAAGTTACGTCTTATAATATTATATATAATTTTTGTTTTATACAAAATTTTCCTAAAATGGTCCGTATTCGAGAAATTTGACAAAATGTAAAAAAATATTTTTTTATAAAAATTGTTTAAATAAAAGTTGTTTGTAATATAATTCTCTATAATTTTTATCCCATAAATAATTTTTCTAAAACCGTATTCGAGAAATTTGAGAAAATTGTAAATTTTGAAATTTGAAGAAAACTCAAAAACGGATAAAAGAACATTAAATTTTAAACATAAGGGGGGGGTACTTTATGGTAGGTCGTTTTTATATTTTATGGAATGTATCTGTTATTTATGTTTGGAGAAAAAAATTGTTCAAATAAAAGTTACTTCTAATAATATTATCTATAATTTTTGTTATTTGTAAACATTTCCTGAAATGGTCCGTATTCGAGAAATTTGACAAAATGTGCAAAATTCTGATTTTTATGAAAATTGTTGAAATAAAAGTTGTTTGCGATATCGATATCTATAATTTTTGTTTATACATGATTTTTCTAAAATGGACCGTAATGGAAAAATTGTAGGAAAAGTGCTAAATTAAAATTTTTCAGTATTTTCGTTTTCAATAAATATCTATAGAAAAATGTTTCGAGGTAGATGTATGTGGAAAATGTATATATTTAGTTTATCCTCCTCTAAACATTTATAGAAGTGCTGCAATAGGTTGTACAAAATAACTGGAAAAAGCCTGTAATAACTAGATAGGAAAGTCATGTGTTGGACACATCAGATTTTTTTGAAAACGGCACATAGTGCAAAACATTTATTGGTTTTAGCCGTTTTTAATTATATCTTTGTTTTAATATTTATTAATATAGTCCCGATAGCTTAATATTAAGCTAGAAACGCCATGTCTGTATTGTGTGTTTTTGAAAACGGAACATGGTACAAAAAATTTATTTGTGGTACAAATTCGGTACTTTTTAATTCTACTTTTGTTTAATTTTTTTCTCTTTTTTTAGTTTAGTCCTGCTAGCTTAATATTAAGCTACATTTTTTTTAACACGCTTATATTAGCTTCACCTGTATGTATGTATGTTTGTAACTCTCCTTTGGACTAAAAGCAAGTTTATTACTGTCAGTATATCCCACTAACTCAAGTTCGTTCGTTGGCCGAGCGGTCTAAGGCGCGGGTTTTCGATTGCTAGACTCACCGATCGTGGGTTCTAATCCCCACGGCTAAAAAAAAATTAATTTTTTTTTCAACAATTTTTTTAATAATTAGTCGAACTAAAAAGTAAAAAATAAATATAGTTTAAAACGGCACATGCTAGAAATTTTTATTAGTGGTACAAATTAGTACAAACTAAGTACTAAATAATGTAATAGATTTGAATTAATTATTCCCAGTTGGTCCTGCTACCTTAAGAGAGGTAGATTTCTTATTCGTTCTTCCTTTTGCATAATTTCACATTAAATTTCAATACTAAAGGAATATCATCCCTGCAAAAAGTGTCCAGCCTAAATGGAGTTTTAAAATTTTTCTAGGTAAATGCAGATACACTGAAGGCCCAGTACGTCTGGAACATCAGTTTGCCTCACCAAAAAGTGGGAGAAATGTTCGTGGTGTGCGGGGTCCTCTATGCTGTCGACAGCGTCATTGACAGAAATACAAAAATTAGATTCGCATTCGATCTGTACAAAGAGAATCTATTGGACGTCAATTTGGCGTTTACAAACCCGTTTAGAAAAACCACCATGTTGGGATACAATGCAAAAAATCAGGTAAGACATTTTAGTACAATAAAAATGAGTTTTCTATATAACAAAACTTTACCCTATTGTAACTAATACATTTTTAAAATCCCTTTTATTGAAGTTGTGAGACTTTTTCGAAAATGATACTAAAATTGTATACACAAATATATACAGTGTTTTAAGTACGTAGTCATTAATTACGTAAAAGTACATTAAACAAAAGTTCAACTGATTCTGGGCTAGTAAAAATAGCATAATTTTTGGAGGGTTTCTAAAACACTTTTACAATAAGCAAATTGAACCATTTGTGAATAAAATGAGGGTACCTAATTTTTTTAGATTTAATTTTTTTTATATTTTTTTTATTTTTTATTTTATTTTTTAAATTTTGTTTTGTTTTATTTTATTTTTTTTTTATTTTTTTATTTTTATTTTTTTTATCTATATATATATGATTAAGAAAATGCATTTTTTTACTTAGAACGATAGTATGTTAATGCCTAATCTGCTTGAAAATTTGATAACTGTTGTATGAACAATGGCACCTATTAAAAAATTCAAAATAAAGTCTTATTTTTTATTCGTTTTTTTTTAGTTTTTTATTTGTTTTTTGTTTTTTAATTATGATTAAGAAAATGCATTTTTTTTACTTAGAACGATAGTATGTTAATGCCTAATCTGCTTGAAAATTTGACAATAGTTGTATGAACAATGGCGCACATGAAAAATAATTTTTTTTAATTTTTTTTATATTTTTGCTTATTTTTATTTAAGCATAATAATCGTATTATAAAAGCAGACTCACTTAAGTTAGTTTTTTTAGCCTTATGTCTATTAAATTTTTTTAAATAAAATAAAATTCCGACAATATCGCGCAAAATGTGTTACAAAAACTTTAAAGGGACAGTAAAACTTTCATACATCACGTTATTGTAACGCGGAAACTTAATTTCCAATTCCAATTTTCTCGGAAATTATTAGATTTTGTTCCAATATGTATCCGAACACCTACTATACACAGAGGCGTAGTCCAAAAAAATATCGATTCTAGTTTGAATAAGAATTATTTGTAAATGAACTATGCAACATATTTTTTTAAATATATTATCCGTTTCTTCCTAACTTTTATTTATTTGTTCTATGCCTAAAAAGATGATAAATAGAATGAAAATAAGGGGAGCGATCAGGTGTATGGCCGCTAGTAAACAGAATGTCCAAAAATTGCTTGTACATTGTGCTACCACAGATTTAAGGGCTCAAAATAGATTTATTTAATCAAACTTACCTATATTATACCAATTGCTTCTTTTGGTCGCTAGAGATCAACTAATTTAAATAAAAATATGTTTTCTCATTAATATCCAGAATTCAGCCATTTTAAAAGATCAAAAAATCAATGGCTTTCATTGAAAGAGTTATTTAAGGGCAATACATGCTAATATTCTTTAAAATAATAAGGAACTGTTACGTAAATTTTGATTAAAATAAAGAGTTGATTGTCGACATAGGGACTTGAAAGGGTTGCTGCCCGAGACTCTGGCCAAAATGCCGCATTAATAGAGACAATGTGTGTTTTTTGGTTTTGTTTTAAATACCAATTTTTCCGTTTTTGTCTCAAGTTTAGTTACTAAGTATCACATACAGGGTGTCTGTAAAAGGTCTTTACAAAAACATACCACATATTCCTTAGACCAAAATAAGTCGATTTAAGTAAAATTACCTTAGTACAAAGTTGCTTCGTTTGGGCTCCAGAGGGCCTTGAAGTTACAATTTTTAAACCGTTTTTCCCATATAAATTTAAAACAGCATATGCGATTTTGCTGAAATTTGGTATATTGGTAGAGTTTAATGTGACTAAAAAATGGTATTAAAATTTTGTCCGATAATAATACATAGGCGTAGAACTTGATTTTTTAAATAATTGCACCTTTAAAAATTCTACGCCAATGGAACAAAAGGAATTTGAGTATGCAATTTAGATTGCGCAACTCATTTACTTTAAAAAAGGTACTCTTGATAAGACTCGATTACTCTCATGGTTTTCGCTAAATTTCTGTTTTAATAATTTAGAGTGTATAGGTTTCACAAAAATATTTATTTACAACATAATCAAAATAGAGATTTTACAAAAATTGTTCAAAATGTTCACCATTTTCACGCATACAAAGATTTATACGTCAAAGAAAATTAAAATGTATCCTTTCCATAACTTCTTCATCACCTCTAAGATTGTTTATTGCATCTTGAATACGTTGCCAGTGTTGTTCCTCATTTTCTACAGGTTCCCTGTAAACTGGATTTCAGATGTCCCCATAAAAAGTAATCCATCGGTGTTAGGTCTGGGGAACGTGGTGACCAGTTTAGAGGTGCGTCATTACCTCTGCCTATCCATTTGTGTGGATATTGTTCATTCAAGTGGTTTCTAACGTTTAAAGAAAAATGTGGTGGAGCTCCATCTTGCATAAACCACATATCTCTCCGAAGTTGGAGAGGTAAATCTTCTAACAATTCTGGCAACGTATTTTGTAGAAAATCCAAATAATTTTCTCCAGTTAATCTTCGTGGAAGTATGACAGGACCAACAATGAAATTACCAATTATTCCAGCCCACACATTAATTTTGAATTCGTGCTGAAAATGGTTTACCTTTATTGCATGCGGATGTTCAACGGCATAAACATGTTCATTATGGGTATTAGTTATACCTCTTCTTGTAAAACCCGCTTCATCGGTAAAAAGAACCTTCTTGACAAAGTTTGGATCTCTTTCTCTTTGCATATTAACAAATCGACAGAAACCCAAACGAATTTGAGGATCATGGACTAATAATTCTTGTACTGGCTTATTATGGTATGGATATAGCAATTGTTTTCCAAGCACTTTATGAACGACATCTTTACTTACTCCTAGTTCCCTTCCAATTCGTCTGGTGCTTAATTCTGGATCTTCTTCAACACGTTCTAAAATGTCTTCTTCAACTTTAGGAATCCTTACAAAACGTTCTCTTCCATTATCAACAGTGTTGGGAGCAAAGGAACCGGTCTCCCGAAGACGTCTCTCAACAGCAGCAAAAGTTGGGTGGCTAGGTACACGACGATTTGGAAACCTTTCAGAGTACACCCTGACACTCTCTCGAGCATTTCCTTCACAAAATCCTAATGTCATATCGGTATATTCTGCATTGGTATATTGTACAGCCATATTAATAAACCAGTCGGATAGAACACTTTCAATCGTTAACAAGAGATTAGGCTTCATCGGTAAAGAGAACCTTCTTGACAAAGTTTGGATTAGGTGTTAAAACTAGACAATATTTTTATTTAGATGAAACTATGGAAACCAACAATAAATGTTTTTGTATATGTATTGCAAGCAAATAATTAATATTCCTCAAAAAATCGTACATGGCAAGAATCGAGTATTTTTGTTAAAAGTCTCGATTAGAGGTGTTGAAGAAGATATGAAAAAAGTATATTTTTATGTTTTTCATCGTATAAAATTTTGTCCGATAATAATACATAGGCATAGAACTTACTCTCATGGTTTTGACAAAGTTTGTATTTTAATAATTATTGTTTATGTTCTAAAATTACTAAAATGCAAATTTCGTCAAAACCATGAGAGTAATCGAGTCTTATCAAGAGCACCTTTTTTAAAGTAAATGAGTTGCGCAATCTAAATTTCATACTCAAACTCCTTTTCTTCCATTGGCGTAGAATTTTTAAAGATGCAATTATTTAAAAAATCAAGTTCTACGCCTATGTATTATTATTGGACAAAATTTTAATACAATTTTTTTGCCACATAAAACTCTACCAATATACCAAATTTCAGCAAAATCGCATATGCCGTTTTAAATTTATATGGGAAAAACGATTTAAAAATTGTAACTTCAAGGCCCTCTGGAGCCCAAACGAAACAACTTTGTACTAAGGTAATTTTACTTAAATCGACTTATTTTGGTCTAAGGAATATGTGGTATGTTTTTGTAAAGACATTTTACAGACACCCTGTATAATTTAATTTCTCAATGATATAATAAGTACATAATAATAAGTCCAAAACAAAGATATATGTACATTTCTGTGGGAAGTTTACTCTCTTTTTCGAATCTGTATCATATTAGAACATTTCTAATTATCGTTGTTATTATTAAGGAAGGATTGGACACGTTATCAAATAGCTTATTCCCTAAATAAAAATTGTTTTCGTTCATTTTGAAATTACGAAATTTAGTACTTTGTTTAAATATACACGTTACTGTTTAAATTGTTCAGCCACTTATTTCAGATATTTACATATAAATTCAGGTTGGTAAAAAAGGGGCGACAGCAATCCTAGCTCCGCCACTGCCCCTCGGTTTTCTGTATCTATCTACAAACCAGTCCGGTATTAAATTTTTTATGATATAACTGTCTATTTTTGCAGGAATTGTATTCGTGGGATAAAGGCAACCAATTAACTTATCCGGTTCGATACCACGATATCGGGTACAATTCGACGACGGTCCCTAAAGACGAGGCCGCAGATCCTCCGACTCCACAATAGAACAGACAGAAAAGGATGTTGGATGTACAGTTTTTCCTAAGGAACAGGAAGATAATGAAAGAAATTTAATTGAAATTTTAAATCTGAAGAAACTGCGGATTCATTTTAAATCAATTGTATACTATTTATCTTTAATTAAGTTAAAAAAGCATCAGAGGCATGGCACAGTAAAAACTTTGATGACAATAACGTGTTAAATAAACGAAATATTGGAATATCGGCTGCAAGTTTTGTCAAAAACAATGTTGCTAAATTATTTACAGAACATATTTGATTTTGTTGTTTCATTTCATTAGTTCTGAGATTTTTTGATATACAGTGTGTTTTAAAAAAAGTGGCCCCGTTGCTAGGGTAGGTAGAACACTGCAAAATAAGTTGGGTGTGCTAAGTAAAAAATTTTCGAAATGAAATTTTGTACGAATATGTTTTGGAAGCTGACACATCGCATAAATTTGTTTTTAGATCTACCCTTCAAAGAAGGCGCTAGTTCTATGATTCGTGCCCACTTGTTTTAAACATAACTTTTTTGAGTCAAAATTTTATGTGAACTCAAACATCATTCAATTTCACAACAAAATGGTACTATTGGCACAACTCGGTAAAACCGTTTTCGGAACATTTTAATTAGAAAATAATGAAGAAATGATGCTGGTATAAAGTAAGTATTTTAAAAAAAACAATTATCTATCGATTAAAGATCAAAAACAAAAAACATTATTCTAATGCTAATGTTATTAATTAAACAAAGAATCGCATAAAGAAAATTAAAAAAAAAATTGACTAAAAACATGAAATATTTAATTAGAGTAAGTGTTCAAAATGCCTTTCGTTTTCACTAATAGGTACACAATTCTCAATATCATTAACTTGCTTGCACCATTGCTATATCATTAATAATCGGTAAGTAAAAGCTGGTGAAATTTCTCTTTCACCTTTTTAAATTTTCCTCCTTTTTTTCCTAAATTCATGTTCACTCATCAGAACCTACCTTTGAAACTATGGCACTTTGTGTTTTTTTTTTGTTTCCAATTTTTGTCTTTTTCTAACCATGAGTACAGTTGTTGAGCGAACTTTTAGGACTGAACATCAGATTTACCTATAGGCCTGAGCAACTGCACCTCGAGCGAGGCTTCCGCGGTGCCCTAGTCGCCGATGGAGAAAAAAAATTTCTGCATATAAAATATTCTCTTGTAAAATATGAACACGTATTGCTCTTTTTTTACCATCAGTTCATGAATGACTCTGTCAGTTTTGCGTTTATACTTTTGAGGCATCTACAAAATCGAACAAAAAATTGTTTAAATAATACTCATACTAGATGTGGGAATGATTTCGGCCGTGTTCGAAACCTCCACCTGCCTAGAGTCGAAGCATCACGGAGACGTTTGTCGATCATCCTGTGATGTTGCTCAAACGTCTTAGGTAAGTTTTTTTTATACTGTTACTGGAACGTTCCAGAAATGACCAGGATAATCAAATCTATTACTTTTTTTATACATTTATTTAAAAAAAAAATTATATATTTTTTTTGACACAAAAATAAAAAATGTTAATTATTACGCTCTGATTCATTGCATCTATTTCTTTCTAGTGCCCTCCAGAACCAGTCATCTATTTTAATATCTGTTTCTTTTTTGTTTACCAATTACCTGAGCTGAATCTGAAAATAATGTTTCTATTAAATGACAATATAAAAAAATTGATATTAAGTTACATTTATTACCCACAATGGATTTAACTATTTTTAACTTATCGAACCTCCTTTTTTCCAGTGAATGAGAACAACCTACACGACTCGTTCCCTAAGAGGGGTGCCACCTTGGTTTGCAAAATACAATACCTAAAATAGTTATTTTTAATGTTAATAAAGCAAGAATCTATAAAGGCCACATTCTGTTAAAGGAAATTAAAAGTTAGCTTCGTCATTTTGGCTTGAATATCTTGAATGTAAAAAGATTGTTTCTGCATTAGCCAAGCGAGATCTAACTTCCAATTGGAAGTGATTTTTCATGTTGCTTTACCTACAAGCTATACAGTTTACAGAGAAGAAATTGCTTATTACTTTTAAACTTGTAAACTTCTTAAGCGAGGCGAGAGACCATTTCAACCACACACCTAGAGAAATATACGGCTAAAGAACGAACGCGCATCTGATCTGAGTGTCTACTGAAACTGGATAGAATATGCGCTAGTTTAGTGTGATGTCATTTTGGTTCCACTGACATTTAACTCTAACCAAACTTTTAACAAAAACATCAATAAATTTGACATATACGTTTTTACTATGAGTTTTTTAAAAATCTTCCAAATAATTGGATTATTTATTTAATATCGTTATTTAATTCAATATTTGAAACTGCAGTTATTCCGAAATCTTGGTCTAACATTTTATTAGCTATGCTACATAAGGGGGGAGCGACAGATAATCCTGAAAACTATAGAGGATTAGCTCTGGTCAACTGTTGTGCTAAAATATTCACTTCCATTATTCTCAACAGACTGTCACAGTGGACTGATGAATGTAATATCCTTCCAGAATGTCAAGCTGGCTTTCGTTTAGGGCGAGGTTGTCAAGATAATGTCTTCACCTTAAGCAGTGTTATTAATTTACATATAAGGCATAAAAAGAGAAAATTGTTTGCAATTTTTGTTGATTTTAAAAGAGCTTTCGACTCAGTTGATCATGTGGATTTGTGGAACAAATTATTTCATGTAGGAGTGTCATCAAAAATTCTCCGTGTAATAAAAATGCTTTATTCGCACGCTACGGTACAAATAAAGGGATCTGATGGGCTATCCAAATCGTTTGAAGTGACAACGGGCGTCCTACAGGGAGAACCTCTAAGTCCCTTATTATTTGCACTGTTTATAGCTGACTTTGATACCTTTTTTTATGAGAACGGTGCTCAAGGTATAAATATTGATGACAAAAATGATGTTTTGTCGCTAATATATGCTGACGACCTTGTCATTTTAGCACACTCTGAGATTGATGTTGTTAAAAAGTTAAAAATTTTAGAAAAATATACTGTTGCTAATAAATTAAATGTTAATTTACAGAAAACAAAAATAATGCAATTTTCTAAGGGAGGTTTCAGGACGCCTAACTTTAATTTTTACTTTAACAACCAACTTATTTCTATAACTAATAAATATACATATCTAGGAGTAGTATTTACTTCATCAGGTCTTTTTAATGAAATGGCTCATTTTACTGCCAACAAAGGTAAACAGGCTATAGGTTCTCTCCTTCCGATAATGTCGAAAGCTAAAATTAATACTTGGCATCCTAGAATCAAATTATTTGAGTCACTTGCCCTTAGTGTTATGTTTAATTGTATTTCTGTTTGGGGCCTAAGATACTTAGATGTATTGGAAACAGTCCAGTTATATTTCCATAAAAGAGTTCTTTTAGTTCCCATCACTACTCCTGATGCTATAATCCGTTTAGAGACTGGAAGAGTAAAGTTTGCATTTAATATTTTTAAAATGTCCCTTAATTGGATACAAAAAATAATGACAATGGATAATCATCGATATCCAAAGCTTTGTTTTAAACAACAATTGCGTTTGATCAACTCTACAGATATAAAGTATAACTGGATAGTACAGTTGAAAAAGTTCTTTGTTGATATTGATTGTGTTCATAAATGGAACAATTTAAACCATCCTTCTTTTAGTTCATATAGAAAAGAATTGTTTTCCAAGTATTTTACACATTTACATGATTCAGATGTTAGTATAGCGTCTCGCTATCCTTTTATGTATTTATATAATTATGTTCCTACATCTTGTGAACCAAGTACATACTTACTCTTTAAATTACCAATCCAGGTTACCCGTACTCTTGCTCAATTGCGTATGTCCAACCATTTTAGGATTAAATTTACATTAAATGGTATTAGTTATGTTATTGACCCCGAACTAGATTGTACTGTGTGTAATACACATGAAAAAGAAACAATTTTTCACATACTTTTTGACTGCCCTATTTACTCAACAATGAAGCAAAATATCGTTTGCCTTGAAAATGTAAACTCATTGCTGCATACTTTACAAAATATAACAATTTTTGAAGCTAGGAAAATTGCTGAATATATTTGGAATATATTAAAATTGCGCTCTTTTGTACTGGAAGAATAATGTTGTTTTTATGTTTTAAGATCTAATTTTTTTATATCTGTACTCATTGCTGTAACTCAGGTTTAGAAGCAATAAATATTATTATTATTATTATTATTATTATTATTATTATTATTATTATTATTATTATTATTATTATTATTATTATTATTATTATTATTATTATTATTATTATTATTATTATTATTATTATTATTATTATTATTATTATTATTATTATTATTATTTTTACTGTGTTTAGTTTATTTCTAAATATTGTTAACAAGTCATAAAAAATAGTTTAGAGGTATGTAATTGGTAACTAAGCGATTGTATATTTAGTGCATGCTATCTACTTAGTTTAGGAATATATTTATATTAAGTGAAAGAACGATATAATTAAGGTAAACAAAACTAACAAAACGGACTCAAAAAATCTACTGTCACTTTAATTGTCAGTGGAACCATAATTACATCATAACTATGAAGACTATCATGACTGAACTAGCGCCACATACTTTGATTTTCTTTTACTATACGGAGAATGGTCGCACTGCGCAGCTTTCTGAGTGCCTTTTAAAAGGAGATAGAAAACTCCGCCATTTTGAACCCTTATTACGTGTTGCCTACATCTTGGCGCAATATTTTTAATAGGTGCGTTTTAATCATCCGCTTCTGCTTCGGAAGTGTCGGTTTTCTTGTTTTAATCTGACAGGTAAAAACGACTAAACCGACAATTACGAAAGCAGAAGCGGATGGTTAAAACGCACCTGATATTTTGCTTGCTGCTGTCAGTGTCAGTGAATATTATTTTTGAAGTCACAGTTTATTGCTAAAGAATCAGCTCACTCGGACCAGTTGAAAGTTCCAAAATAACATCCACTCCAAGGATACAAATTCAGGATACGCAGAAGACTGCTGTTTTATTATAGGCGGTTGTCATATATTGTATTATCCGAGTTGCACAGTGTATAAACTGAAATATTGAGATCCAAAGTGCCGACGCAGAGTGAGCGATCTGATTCTTTAGCTGTAAACTGTGTCACAGGGTTCAAAATGGCCGCGCCCTATGTTGGGCGTGTCGGACCTCTCTCTTGCTTCGTATAGTAATCAAAGTATGTGACTAGCGCATTCCGCCATTTTGCCAGCTAATTGTCAGATTTAAGTGTCAACTTTCGATGCCGATAATGCCGATGCTATTTTAGTGTTTTGCATTGTTTTCGTTTATGTTCGTGAATTATATTTTTCGAATTTTGTTCAGTCATTTAGTGAGTGTTTTAAAATATTATTGTTCG